CCCTGCCTTGAGGGGGTAGGAGGGCTGCCACCTCACCTGGCCCTGCGGCTGTGTTGTTGCTAGAGCTGTGCTGGTCTTCATGTGTCAGCGCCCTGACTGGTTGCTGCCATTGCAAACCAAGGGCGAACTGTGGCATTTAATCTGCTCGTGCTTGTTCGATTCACTTGTGCACCCAGGAACCTTTGCCCCGCCCCCATCTCCTGTCAGCAGGCACCCACTGTCCCCTGCCTCCCCCAGCCCATGTGGACCCCCGTCCCTTGGGAGCGGCAGTGCTACCGAGGGGGTAGCTGGGGAACTCGGCTGAGGTCTCCTGCGATGGAGGAGAGCATGCCCTGGGGTCTGTGCTGGCAGGTTAATGGTGTGAAGATGTTTCTTTCTTGGATTTTGTTTTTCATATTGACTTGCTCTTCTTTACCCAAGTGCTGAACGAGTTGCTCTTTTAATGGATCGTTCCCGGAGCCCAGACAAAACCACCCAGGTGAGATCATGGCTCTGAGACAGCAAGTCCTCACCATTGGGATGAAGAGAAGGGCTGGTGCCTGTAGGAGAAAAGCAAGGAGGAGAGCCTGAGTTAGCTTGCTAGGAGTCTTACTGCTGTCTTGTCCCTGTGGATGATGCTGGGTGGAGTAAAAGGAGAGCTGAGAGGCCCTTATATGGCTTTTTGGGCAAGGCTTCCAGAGTCTGGGGAGGTGAAGATTCCTGGGGAGCAGGAAGAGGAGGAAGACTGTGTGTAGGCATGTACCCCCTTCTCATTGGGAAGAGGGCAGCTGTACCTCTGGTGCTGGGTGTGCATAAGGTCACTTCCAAGGCTCTGGACAGGGCAGTTTTGGGGCTTAATGGGAGTGGGCAGAGGGCTGCAGGGTTTGGGGGGGATGCTGATGTCCCGCTGCAGGAGTGCTCCTCTGTCTCAGAGCTGTGCACAGGGCTTCCTGCCTAGCACAGGCAGTGGGCAGTGCCTTGTTGTCTCAGTGCTGTGGTGAGCAGCTGAGCCACACAGTGCCCTTCTTCTGTGGTAGCATGGCAGGTCTTGAAAGCTTCAAATCAGGAGCCAAGCAGTCATAGTACCTTTTTTTTTTTCTGTGCAAGTATGGCATGAGGACTTCAGCACAGACTCTACCTTAGTACAGCCTCCAGCCTGGGGATGATACTGCTTTAATGCATAGCTCTGTTCTCCCTTTCCCCACCACCTAAAAGTTTGCCAAAGCATCCACTCTTTCCTCTGCTGACGGGTGTTTACCAATGGCTTTGTGCAAGCGATCCTTTATGGAGGAAAGGAAAGCACAACCTGCAGCAAGGTCCTTGTGACTAATGTTATTGTTATCCTCCCCAGCCTCCAACACCAACTGACACCATCAACCTCGGACCTTCTGCTAACCCAAAGTAAGCTCCCTTCAAACGCCAGGTAGGGTGCGGAGCATGCAGTGAACAGATCTGGCAGGGCAACGCAGTTGGTCCCTGTGTCTCACATGGGTGGTGTCTGCAAATGTCCTAACAGTTACATTACTTGGCCTTTAATACCACATGTATCACCAACTCAGCAGCTTTTGAGATGTTCAGCTATAGCTGGTCCCTGTTATCATGATAATTCTCTCCTGTCTCTGTCTGCAGCCTCTTGTCCCATCTCTTGAGAGGCATTAAGGGAAGATCTTCCTGATCACTGCTGCTCCCTGACTATCTTTCCCTCTAGAAATGGGGATAAACTGTGTCCCCTGTAAAGGTGCCATTTGGTCCCTGAGGGACGGCTCCTCCTCTCCTGGGTCCACTGACAGACGCAGTGCAAACTCCCTGCTTGTGACAGCTGGCTGGGAGCGAGGGTCACCCGGCCAGTGCCCTTTAATCCCTGTGACAAACACTCGTGTTTCCAAGAAGGACGCTGCTTTGATGGTAGTGTTGCTGTTGCATGTTTCTCTCCCAGAAACATTAACTTGCTTCATTCCTGTCCAACAGTGCCAAGCCAACAGACTTTGACTTCCTGAAGGTTATTGGCAAAGGAAGCTTTGGAAAAGTAAGTGGATTTGTACAGGTGGGTTGTAGCTCTTCAGGGACAGCTTGGAAAGAGACTTCCTCACTGAAGGAATTTCTAGCTGTGTCCTCTGTTTGCAACTCTCCTGAGGAGTTTGGCCTGAGTGGGACTGAGACCAGATGAGACCTGAGATATAATTTTCATAGTCCATTCTTTCTTTGAGCTGTCACGCAATCTAAGGACAGAAGCGTGAGGTGTTTTTATGCTCAGGGAGCTGATGGTGAGGAAGCAGTATTTGATTTAAAATAAGCCTCAGACTTGTTCATGTAGCAAGAGATCTCTAGACAAATCTGTGAGGTGTGAGATAAGAGATCCACTTTCAATGCGACTATCCCCAAATGCTACAAAACTACTTTCTATTGAGTGTGTAAGATGTATGTGGAGATGTTGTGTGCCTCTTCCTGGCAACAAGGAAGTGCTGGGAAGTCAGTGGGCTGGAGCTTGGTCTTTAAGACTTTGTACCTGACCATCTGAAGCTGTACTTTATGTATAATCACTCATAAGAGTATTGAGCTAACGAGGAAACACTAACCAAGTAGCAGAAGGTGAGAGACTCAAATCTATGAACAGGACTTTCTGTTGCAGGTTCTCCTGGCCAAACGCAAGTGTGATGGGACTTTTTATGCTGTGAAAGTCTTGCATAAGAAAACCATCCTAAAGAAAAAAGAGGTAGTGTATAAGCAGTCCTGGTAATGCGGCTGAGGTATCTTGTAGCTGAGGGAGCATTCGCATAGGCAAGTCACATGTTAAACATGGATTTCTTGGTGCCATGGGAAAATTGAGAAGAACTGAGATGAACTGGATTAGAGAGGAGAGTGGTTCCCTTTCTGGGGCTGGAGATGATCCCTTAGAAATCCTAGCTTCTACTTGTTTTCAGAACAGCAATGAGCCCATATGGCACACTGCACTGAACACTTGCCTGAAACTCTAATGCCTTGCCTACTTTTTGATAGCAAAACCACATCATGGCAGAGCGCAACGTGCTCCTGAAAAACGTCAAGCACCCCTTCCTTGTGGGACTCCATTACTCCTTCCAGACTTCGGAGAAGCTTTACTTTGTGCTTGACTACGTAAATGGGGGAGAGGTGAGTGCACATACAGGCTTTATTTTAATCCTCTGTGTGGTCCTTCCCAAACATGGTGCTATATTGCCTAAAACTCCTTCTTGTAAGACGACAATGATGTTGAAATGTAATGTTCTGTTGACTCCTGGCAAGGACCAGCTGGGAGTAGCTGGCATGCTACCTTGCCTGTAACTTGAGTGAAGATCTTGCTGGATACGACCTGTGCCAGCTGATTCCCAAGGCAAGGACACTAAGAAAAACATGTGCTAGGGGCACTTCAAAATCCTATGGAGAATATGGGAAATGCTGACGTTGGTGAGCTTTAGGCAAAACCAGCTCGTGGGCCAGATCTGGATTCCAGTCTAGTGCTTGGGGGATTCTGTTGCAGACTTCTTTTTCTGTCCTGGAGAAGCTCCTCTTTCTTCAGCTGTCTTTGTGCTGTCTGAAACTGGCTGGGAGATATTGTTAACCTGGATGTCTTGTCCAACCTAACCCCAACTCTTAGTGGGTTCAGCTCCATACATGTACCACTCTTCATGGCTGTGCTACAGCTATAATTGGCCTGTGGGTTGTAGCAAGCTAGAAAGCTTAACTAGATCAGCAGATGACCAGTTTTGGGGCAAGGAATTAAGTGAGGTGGTGACGTAAGAGGAGGGCAAATGAAACAATTTCTGGAAAGGTGTTTAGATTGCTGAAAGTCATTTGGTTTGGGCTGATTTGGTGCTGTTCACATGCTGCTTGTTGCAAGTCAATATTCACTTGAACAGCTGGCTTTCAGGCTTGCTCCAGATATCCTTCAGTTATTCAGAGAAGAAATGATGAAACTTATGATCCGTTTGTAGCTCTTCTTCCACTTGCAAAGGGAGCGCTGCTTCCGTGAACCCCGGGCCCGATTCTATGCTGCAGAAGTTGCCAGTGCAATTGGGTACCTGCATTCCTTAAACATCATCTACAGGTAAGGCACGTGTCCTGTCCTGCCAGGGAGAGCAAGGGCACCAAGGCTGCCCAGCCAGGCTGTGTGCTGTGCTGGGGAGGGAAAAGACTTTTTTTGGGGGCCGTGCAAAATGCAGGACTGGAGTAGCTGAAGAAGCTCCTACCCCAGACAAGACAATGTGCTGCTGGCATTTTACTCTGTGAGAGAGGTGCTGTCTGCACGGGACCTGATGGGCAATACATGTTCCCAGCCTGATAAAGGGAAGGAGAATGGTTGGATGAAAAAATCTAAAATAAACCTGGCACAAGAAGGAAGAAATTGCCTCAGTCCCAATTTATATATAGACATGCAGAGAAATGCAGGCTGAGATCTGATCCTGTGTGGGAGAAGTCTTTATATGCTTGCATACATTGTATGTTGATACCAAACAGTGATGGGAATCTGCACTTTGGGAAGGCCTTGGTGAACTAGATTGGGATGTTCTCCTAGCTCCTGTTCTTAGCTGATGCTGTTTCAGATCAGGCTTTTTCTAATAGCTGGACAAATCGGCTCAAACAGCACTTTTTGTCTTGCAGGGACTTAAAACCTGAGAACATCCTCCTGGATTGCCAGGTACATTCCCGGCTCACACTGCCCCTCCTTCCAGCTTTAAAAGCATTAGGACCATAAACAGAGGGCTACGGCTCTGCAAGCTGGGCTACAGCTCACTTCACTGCATGGATGTGTGTGTGTGCACCTCTGCATTTCTGTGCAGATCCTGCAAGAGGGAGCGAGCCTGCCCTCCGGAACTGTGGGCTTGGGGCCCTCTCAGCTCATTCCCAGGAGCTGGGACCTGGTTGGTGGGCAGCGATCAGGGATGTGAAGAGCAAGTCACTGCTGCTACTCTGGTGGTGACTGTTATCTAACTGGCTCTGGGATAAAGCAGTGCCAAAGCACGGCAGTGCTGGATCTCTTCATAGCTATGCAGTTGTAGACAAATTAAAAAAATGCAGACTCTACTTTATCTATAAGCTCCTGTACTTGTACTATGGGATGTCCAGAAGGTGAGTGAGGGGAAGCTGGTGAACAGTGGGGAACTACAAGATAAGGAAGATGCAACATGAAGGCCAATGCTTGAAAATCCTGTCTCTTCTCTAGAAAGAGTGGGCCAAGCTGAAATATCTCTCTCTTCTTTAGGGACATATAATATTGACAGACTTTGGACTCTGCAAAGAAGGAATGGAGCAAGAGGAGACAACAACTACTTTTTGTGGCACTCCTGAGGTACAGCATGTGCTGGGGTTTTGCTGCAACCTGAGGGCTGAAAGCCTTCAGAGACTTAACTGCTCCAGGTCTGTCTTGCGTGCGTGCTCAGCATCTCAAGATATGGGCTCTGTGAATTAGACCATCTCGGGCTGTCTGAGGTCATCAGCCTGAAGTTGGAGTTGAGATAAGGCCTTCCCTACTCAGCAGAGACAGTTTTACCTGTAACAGCTGATTAGTACTCTAAACATGCTGTGCTATTAGAGGCAGGGATCCCGGCACTCGGAAATGGCCAGTCTTGTGAAGCTGGGACTGCTGCAGGTGGCTGTGGAGACAACCTTGACCCTGGGAGCCTGTGAGCGGGCTGTTTACCTGCTCTGATACCCTGGAGCCGCAGAACAGGGAGCCTGCTGGTACCGACGTACCCAGGACCTCACTGTGCCCTGCACAGTCCTTGGGGCACAGGAGCTGCAAAACGCCCTGTGCAGAGGAGGGCAGCAGGCTCTCCTCAGGACTGCGAACACTGCTCAGAGGGAAGGAAATGCTTGTTCTCCAACACACCTCAGATAAGTTTTAGCAAAACTTACGGCTTCTTGGAGGTTGTTTTTTTTCCTGCTTCTTGTTGAGCTGGGGAATTTGGTAGCACTCAGGCCTAGGTAATACACGTGTCCTGCTGCCCTTCCTCAGACAGCTTGAAGAAGGGTCTGTGAGCAAGATACCGCTCAGTATTCAAGCTCGGTAGGAGCGGGCAGGAATTTCCTGGTGGTATCCCTCAGCTGTCAGTGGGGACCCACTTGTGCAATAGTACAGCACACACCATGCAGGAACATTTGAGCTTTGTTTTGTGGTTTTTGGTGTGCTGTGGGTTGTTTTTCCTGCCATAGGTAGGGAGCCTGATAATACATGGAGATAATCCTGTGTCAGACCAGGCTTGATGTGCCGCTTGCTCTGTGGGCTGCTTGAATTTTTGGCTATTGCTTGTCGGTGGTGGTTATTGGTGATTTTCATGCTTCGGACAGACTTACTGGGACTGAGAACTGCAGTTTTCTCAAAGCCACAGGAGCCTCTTAGAGGTGTAACGTGGCACTGCAGGACAGGTTTGCTGGTGAGTTGTGGTGGGTGGCAAATCCTTGTGCAAGTCCTCTGGAGGAAGAGAACCTTCTGTAGCCCAGAAAAACCACTTTGGGGGTTTTGGTAGCTGTCTTTCAAACCCATTGCTCTGAAGCAAGTGGGGAGTCTATCAAAGTATAGTAGGAACTGCATCTGTGTGCTTCCTAATGCGTTTGCTCAGCTTGAACTACAGCCAGGTTTGCATACTTACGAGGGCAAAGCCCTTCCTTTATCATTTGACTCCAAATATATACTTCTGATTCTTCCCAGTACCTGGCTCCTGAGGTGCTGAAGAAGCAGCCCTATGACAGGACAGTAGACTGGTGGTGCCTAGGAGCTGTCCTCTACGAAATGCTGTTTGGACTGGTATGTTTGGAAGCGGTCTGTTTTACTTTACATGGTGAAGAACTTATCTTCAAAAGCTGTGGTGCGAGGTTGGTCTGGTGTTCACATAGTATCTGACCCAGACAACAGAATCCTGAATTAGATGACCTGGCTCAATATGCCATTGCCCTTTTGCGCAGAGATATGGCAGGTCTCCCTCATCTGCACACTGCAGGACTCGTTTTGACCTGCAATGTGTGGTTCCTTATGGTAGCTCATGTTTTACCTGGCTGCTTCTCCTCTCTTTCAAATTAGCCTCCTTTTTACAGCCGGGATGTGTCTCAGATGTATGACAACATTCTGAAGAAGCCACTCCAGATTCAAGGAAGCAAGACTGTGGCAGCTTGTGACATCCTCCAGGGACTTCTCCACAAGGACCAGAAGAGGAGGCTGGGTGCCAAGACAGACTTTGTAGGTTGCCTCCATTAGCATCAGGAGGGAGGGTGGATAGGAAACCTTTCTGTTCTGAGCCTTTCTTTCAAGACAACAGCACTGCCTTGGAGAAAGCCTTCCATGCATGTGGATGTCTCTCCAGCCCCCTAAAGGGGACATATGGGGTTGACTTGGATTTCCAAAGGGGAACACTATGCTTCAAGGTGTGGTAGCAAGCTAGGACACCAATATGTGTTGGTGTCATCTCCCTTCAAGGGATTACTGGACCGTGACCCTCATGTATTAAGCATTTGCTACGTGGGCCCTACACACATACGTGGTAGCTCCAAGTCTTGCTTCAACCACTTAATGTTATGAAACCAGCTGGCAGGTGCTGGAAAAGGAGGTTGGCAGAAGACTCACTTTTTTCCCCCCACTTTCTATGCAGCTTGAGATAAAGAGCCACATATTCTTCAGCCCAATAAACTGGGATGACTTGTACCACAAGAGGATCACTCCTCCCTTTAACCCCAATGTGGTAAGTGGGTATTTCTGTTGGTATCTGTTGCACGGTGGTACAGAAGGAATCCTCTCCAGACGTCTTATGCTGACACCAAGGGGTGCTGAAGCGCAGGTTAGGAACCGCAAACGCAGTGGTGAGGATGCTTTTGGAAGAGCAGCTGTGTTAGCGTGTCTGAACGCAAGCGGGTGGTTGGGGTCTGCTCACTTGAAGTGATTGTGTGCCTCTCTGCTCCTTGGCTTAGGCTGGTCCTGCTGATCTGCGACACTTTGACCCAGAGTTCACCCAAGAAGCGATCTCCACCTCCATCACCCACACGCCTGACCTAGCAGCCAGCAGCTCCAGTGCCTCAGATGCATTTTTAGGATTTTCTTATGCACCAGCTGAAGAGGGCATCTAGGTTTTACAAAGGCTTTGAGACGCCAGATTTTAACTGAATGGGTTTTATGTTTGGGGGTGTGGTGTTTTTGTTTTTTTTTTAAAGGATTGGTACTGTCCTTTTGCTTATGGTTTAAGGAAATTGGGACTAATACACTCACTGGCTGGGATGAAACAGAGCTCTTAACTTTTGCTGTTTGGTGGATTTCCCTCTAAATGACTGTTCCCCTGGCAAGGAAAGTGGAACACTGATTATTATTTTTCCCACCAGTGTGTCTTGTGCTACTTGGCAGAATCATATTCACTCTGTGGTTGTATTTATGGTTGAGGTTTGTGTGCCATTATTCACACCAACAGCCATGTTCCTCTCACTGGTCACTTTTTTTATGTGGAGCTAACTCTGCCCAGCTCTGGCCAACTGCTTTGCCTGCCCCCCCGCC